GAGGGGGAGGAGGAGGAGGGGGAGGAGGAGGAGGGCAGTCCGGGGGGTCACGTGACCTCGGGGGGAGGGGGTCACATGACCTTGGGCGGGGCGTCACGTGACTTCGGCGGGGGGAGGGGAGTCACCCCCCGGGGTCACGTTACCTCGGGGGGAGGGGGTCACATGACTTCAGAGGGGGGTCACGTGAACTCGGGAGGGTCACGCGACTACCCCCTCCCCTCCCCCCCCCCCCCCCGAGATCACGTGGCCCCCGCGAGGGGAAGAGGAGAACGCAGGGGAGCAGGGAGGATGAGCAGGGCGGACGAATCCGAATTTTCATTTCTCCGAACAATTATTTTAAAAGACTCTTATCTGTTGTCCCTGTTTCCGACCGCTCTTGAGCGGCAAGAAGGAAAGGAGTACGAAGGTGGAGGAGGAGGCGGAGGAGAGACGAGGAGGCAGAGGCGAGGCGACGGGAGGAGCTTGAAGGACGAGGAGGCGGTGAAGGACAGGGAGGGGGTGGAGGGGGAGGAGGAGGGGAGGAGGACTAGCAGGCATGATCACGAGGGAGGAGGAGGAATATAACCTCCCCTCAGTGCCCTTCCCTCCTCCTACTCAAGAGCTGCGCTCCAATTCGGCGTTACAGAGAGTTGTAAACGGCTTTCACTTTTTTATTCACAACGTTATCTAATTTTCCCTTTTTTAAATCACAGGGTGCCGTGACGAGATAAGCTCCATCGTGAACATATTCTGCTTCGAGAAGAAAGCCTCCATAAAACAATGACCCCTCTCCATGTCACATAAAACAAATAAAATGAGACAAAAAAAAAAAAACAGAATTCACGATGTGCTTTCTGGGAAGCAAGTAGTGTTTTATTGTCCGACAGCGTGTACGTGTAACCTTGGGTTATGTGAGGATCCGAAAGGGTTCTGTCTTCTTCGGTGACAGAGTACAGCCAGGGCTTTACTATTGTCTGGTGCGGGTTGGCCTTCCTAAGAAAGCGCCCTGAATATCATTCAGAGGCAAAAGGGTCGGTGATAAAGTTGACAGTGAAGGGGGGGTGATTCAAGTCCAGGTGTAGCCCGGAACAATGTTGGCTGAAACTGTGTGCAGCTTTCGTCCTTGTAAAGTTTGAAAACTAAAAAAAAAAGCAGAAACGTTCAATTTGAACATAAAGCTGATAATCAGGGTAACGTTATGTTTTATTTTGTGTGCTCTCCTGGCAGAGTATCGTTTTATTATAAGCGTGCTGCCCTGGCAGTTAAATGCTTTTCTTGAATAAACCTTCAACTAAACGAAAATGTGCAAACGAGCTGGTGTGAATTGCACATTACTGAAACCCCCAGACTGCCCGTAAAAAAACGACACAGACACTTAAAAGTGTTTTAAGAGTCGGTCCTTTACCTTCAGTGTCGTGTTTTCTGTCGCGTACACGAGTAAAACTTTTCAGTAAGTCGCATACCCATTTGTTTTTATTTCTTTTTATAACAATGGTTTTTATTTCTAGTAATTTGACTCCACCTTAAACACATTTTTACAAGTGACTACCTTAGTCTTAACAAATGTAAGTAAAACATCTATAAAGCACTGTTATGCCCCAAAACTCGATACAGAGAAATTCGATGAAACGGCCCTTAGCGATTCGATGAAACGGCGTTCGATGAAATGGCGTTCGATGAAATGTCCATTCATTCGGTGAAACGGCGTTCGATGAAACGGCGTTCGATGAAATGTCCGCTACCCTTCTCCGACATGCCCCAACGCTGTTTCCTTGTTGGCTGCAACAACGACAGTAAACGTTGTCGCGGTTTAAGCTTCTTTGGGTTTCCTTCTACTAACCTGCACCCGACGAAGCGGCAGCTCTTGATTCGGGCGATCCAACGAAACAATGCTGACGTTGTGCAAGGGCAGCCTCCAAAGCACGCCCGCATTTGCAGTTGCCACTTCAAGGAAGGGTCATGTTTTTGTTCCTTCATTTTTTTTTTTTTTTGGGGGGGGGGGGGGGTGTAAATACAAGTTAGCAGATTGGTTAGGTATGCTGTCGCGTCGCTTCTATGCCACGCAGAGTGAGCGTCTCGGAGTTGGCGTTTCTGGGATGGTGCGTTTCACTGGCACACGTTTTTGTTTACTAATAAATTAATGTGACGGTCTCGCGTTGCTACGCAAACTGCCGGTATGCATTTTTGGTTGTTGTAAACATTAGAATAACCCACAGTTTTTAAACATTTATAAATCATTGAGGTAAATTGGCTATGCTGCACAGTTTGTTGCTACGTGCACGCCCAGAACCAGGTTTGCCAGGTTGGGCTATAAATAGCCAAATTGGGCTAGTTTTATTTGCCGTTGGCGGGAGAAAATGGTAGTTGGCTATTTGGCTAGTATTGGGCTATTTCTGACCTGTGCATTTGGCTATTTCTGACCTGGGGATTGGGCAATTTCTGGCCTGTTCTGGAACCAAAATGCCTGAAAGCACTTGGGTTTATAGGTTCAAATGTGTCTTTTAGAGGAGATAGATAGTCTTTATATTCAACCATGTAGGGTCGCAACACCACAGAAAGGCCGGTGGCCCGTACCTGAGGCCTGTGGTGCCACAGTATAACAGGAACTTAACACAACAGTAACAAGGACATTAACGGTAATTAATGTTTAACGCAAAGGTCATATGCGATGGTACGTGTCAGTCCGAAAAGGAGGTGTCCGTCACTGCAGGAGAAAGTCTAATGCCTCCTTGCACCAGGCTTTCATGTCCTCTTTCTCTTGGGGGGCGCTTCAGTCCCTTAACCCTGATAAGTATGCGACAGCAAACAAATTCATCTTCTTTTTGCGCGCCTTGTGCAAATATTTACCTCCGAATTTTGTCCGAATGCAAGCAGGTGTTGTTATTCCTCCAACTCAAGAAGTGACGGCGCGATTCCTTGCGGCCATAACAGCGCCTGTTCTGCGCATTCTTCAGGTTGTCTGTTCATTAACTTGCACCTATACTTTGTGTTCAATTCTGCATAGTTCTACCGTGACGTCATTCTGGTGATCATGCCACGTTAGTAAGCGTCCCAATACAGTGGAAGGTATGTTGTCATGCGCATGTACGAGCGTTTAAGGAAGTTCGCCGAACGTGCAAGGGATGCCACTTCTGGGGCATTAGGTGTATAAAAATGTATTATGTGTCTTTTCTGCTCAAAGTAAACGTTTCAAATGATAAGTTTGTTTGTTTGCTTTTTGGCTATTTTTTGGCTATTTTTCTGGATCGACATTTGGCTTTTTTAGGGCTATATTTTGTAGACGTTTGGCGGGTTGGAGTTCAAACACCTGGCAACCCTGCCCAGAACGTGAAATTGGAGCTGCTCTTTCACAATTAACCACGACCGCATCTGCTAGTCTTGTGGTTAAATAAGAGGAAACCATCGTCTTGATGTGTTGTCCTTAAGTATGTATCGAGTAAAAATCTTTTTGCAACATTCTCTACAGACGCGGGACTAAAACACAAAGTACAGGTGTGGCCGATTTCGTGTTTCTCCAGGACCTATAGTCCCACAGAGCTGTAGCCTGAAGTGGGGTAACATTAATGACGAGGCTCGCTCAGAATTCGGCGGCTGCACGTATACATCTTAGATTTTTATTAAACATGCGTTTTAGGGGTGAATTTGACTTTGTGAAATTCCGAATTGTTGCTTTCTTACAGTAAAAAACGAGAGACCAACCAACTCGCCAGGGGCAGCAGCGGGCACTGAACACGTCCGCCGTTGACCCGGCCAAGTTTGTTGGTCTTCTTTTTTATAGGAATGGAGCTACGGGTTAAAGTATCACCAATAAAGTACACCTTTGTTGGAAATTACATCTGTACGTGCAGGCACCAAGTTTTCCGAACGATTTTAAAGTAAGCCTTTTCAATTATGAGAACACATCTTGTCGTTTAAAAATTTCGAGCAGATTCTACATATAACTTGCAATTAAAAAAAGTTTTTTCTCACTGTTACTTGGTTTCGAATATTTTCTGAATTTATTGTCGATACTGCATATAGCATGAATCCTAGCTTCTCTACTTTCTCATTGGTCGAAGAGAGCTTCAACTATGCCGTCAGTCACAACGGGCGCCACGACGAAGTCCGTTGTTCCGAATGTTCGGACGACGGACTTCGCCGTCGTCCGAACATTCGGAAAAAATGTACAAACGGACGAAGCCATCCGTAGTTAACGCATTAATAGAAAACAAATCTGCTCGTCGATCCCGTTTGATAGAGTAAAAACAAACGCTCAGCGCACTTACCGACCGCGTTCAGACAGCCAACATAGCTTGGAACGGGCAGAACCGGAAGCAAGGCAGGCCATCAAAAACGTTTCTCCTGCTTGCCGATAGATGGCGCCTAACATTTGCGGAAAAGGCCCATTACGTTACCCGTTACTCAAAATAAGTAACCTAAGTACTAGGGTGACCAGACGTCCCGTTTTGGCCGGGACAGTACCGTTTTTGAGATTCCCTTCTGCTGTCCCGTCTTTTTGTCCCAATAAAGATTCATGTCCCGTTTTCGCAGAAGTGCATGGTTTCGAAATTGGCACAAAGTGAGTTGAAGTAAACCGAAACGATGTGTACTCGTCACAAGTATATTTTACAAAAATACCTGTGGCTACTTTAACTTTAAAATATTTACCCAGAGTAAAATTTAGAGAACTGTTCATGGACACAAACATTTTTTTTCCTATCGCGAAGACTCGTGTGTATAAATTTGTTTTCCCAATCTCAATCTTTAGTACGCCCCCCCCCCCCCCCCGCCCCTCTTCCCATGGCTAGGATGTTTTGTTTCCCACCTTGAGGAGTATGGTCACCCTACTAAGTACATTACCCGTTACTGTCTGGGAAAGCTAACGACTACGTTATTACGTTACTGAAAAAAAAACGCCTTACCGGTAGACGACGTTACTTGTAACATCTTACCGCCAACAATGTACAACGGTGACCGCGGCGGCTTGAGTTTCCTTCTGCACTTGGTTAGCAGGACGTGCAAGTTACCACAGCTGCCCTACCATGGGGCTGCCAGAGTCGAGTCAAACGATCACCTGTAGACCTTTACAACCACCGCGATTGAGCCTTCTTAACATCTGAAATGGATGAATACCTACTTTAAACCGCACCGCAAACAATGGAGGTATACAGGGCCACGTTCATCTATTTCTGACCTTTCTTGTTTTGTCGTGTCATCCTAGCAGGTTGGATCGAAGCATACCATAACGACGAAGTGGGCATCTTTCACCGTGACAGCCGCAGGGGTGACACCTTTCCTGAGACCAACTGGTCGGACCCACAAAAGCAGCAAACGCACCGACAACCGGACAAGCACCCGTGCCGCTTCTGTCCTCACTCAAGCTCTTCCGCAGTGTGTCTCGCCATCCACGAGAGGACTCACACTGGCGAGAGGCCCTTCAGTTGCGGTGTCTGCGAGAAAATGTTCGCGAAAAAGTATGACTTGATGGCTCACGATAGAACTCACACCGGAGAGAAGCCGTTCAAGTGCAACACGTGCAGCAAGGCGTTTACTCTGAAACGCACCTTGGCGGATCACGAAAGAATTCACACCGGAGAGAAGCCGTTCAAGTGCAACACGTGCAGCAAGACGTTTACTCTGAAACGCACCTTGGCGGATCACGAAAGAATTCACGCCGGAGAGAAGCCGTTCAAGTGCAACACGTGCAGCAAGGCGTTTACTCTGAAACGCACCTTGGCGGATCACGAAAGAATTCACACCGGAGAGAAGCCGTTCAAGTGCAACACGTGCAGCAAGGCGTTTACTCTGAAACGCACCTTGGCGGATCACGAAAGAATTCACGCCGGAGAGAAGCCGTTCAAGTGCAACACGTGCAGCAAGTCTGAAACGCACCTTGGCGGATCACGAAAGAATTCACACCGGAGAGAAGCCGTTCAAGTGCAACACGTGCAGCAAGGCGTTTACTCAGAAAACCAACTTGGCGAATCATGAGAGGACTCACACCGGAGAGAAGCCGTATAGATGTGAGACCTGCAATAGAGCGTTTGCGGCCCATAGCAATTTATACAGTCATCGGAAGATACATCACAAGTGATCGAAACCATCACGTGCGTCATAGCTGTGGAGGGGGTTTAAACGAAATACTCGAGCTCCTGCGTGTGTTCATATCGTTTGGCGGTAGACCTGCAGGGGTCTTCTTGCGAGCAGTGTGGGTTTTGCATAGTTCAAAATTTGTCAGCCTGTTATTTGTCGTGTAATCACAAATAAAAATGTGAACTTATTTTGGAATAAGAGAGCGGGGTTTCTTTTTGTACAAAAACAAAACTACTGGAAGCATACTATATTTTATTAATTTAGAGTCCTTAATCACGTGCTGCACCTGTAGTCTCTGGATTGTCTGCAGGTTTATTTATGTTGCTTACAAGTCGGCCTACTATAGAACAAAATATACGAAATAATAAAATCACTAAAGTCTTTCAATAGCAACAAGCTTCAATAATGTAAAATTTTAAAAAGTATGAGATAGACCAAGTAATGCAAACACAATTCTAAGATATAAAATAAATAAATAAATATGTATATATATATATATATATATATATATATAACTAATTAACACGCAAAGCTGGAGCTTTGCGCATAGTACTAGAACAGAATATACAACACTCGAAGTATTAGGAATACAATGTCTTGTTTCCTAATACTACCACTGAACTTTTACCCGCTAAATTGAGCGGAAAAATTTTTCCGCTAAATTTAGCGGAAAGTTTTTCTCGCTGACTTTAGCGGAAAAAATTCCCCACCAAATTTAGCGGAAATTCCCGGCTAAATTTAGTGGCAACTTTTCCCGATAAATTTAGCGGGAAGTTTTCCCCAAGATAGAAGGCGAGCAGGAGAGGAGGAGAAGAGGGTACGGATGAGAAGGGGCACACCCCTCTCTTTGTAGCTTCCCCTCTTCCTCAAGAGCTGCGCTCTAATTCGGTGTTATAGGGGATTGTAAACGACATTCATTTTTTTTTATTGTATTTTTAACGATTTGTACGCCTTTGTAGGCTTTACTGTAGAAAATAGTTGTGTAAAAAGAAAACAGAAGATATGGAAATACAGGGTGAGCTCCGAAACGGATTCTGAAGAGATACAAGACTGGTAGATAACTTAACCGTCGGGCTCTCTACTGTCACCTCTTCTCTTCACGATACATCTCAGTGAAATGGAAAATAAATTATCTTAGCTTCTGATGTGAGTCATTTGGAAGGAGGGAGAAATGTAATGGAGGTAATGCCAGGACTGATGTTTGCGGACGACATAGCACTCATGGCAGATATCCAGGAATATTACAGGAACTAGCTGGAATATATGGAGAGGAAGGTGACACCTTGGGCATGACTTTTAGTAGTGACAAGTTTGGAGTAATGGTGTTTAACGAGGAGAAGAGGGAATCCCTGAAGATAAAAGACATTGTAATAGATCATGTGGCTCGAGGAACATGAGGACAATATAGTCAGAAAAGGAAACAAAATCATAAGTTATAAAAAAAGGCACTATGGAACTACATATAATATATATAAAGCGGTCAGCAGTATATGGAAAGGAGTGATGGTACCATGACTGTATTTCAACAATACGGTAGTATGCACGAAATCAGAGGTTCAATCAGGATTAGATCTTCGACAAAGGAGCGTACGCAGATTGGCACTAAGAGCACATGGAAAGACACCTAATAAAAAGAAGTATACAGGGGGACATTGGTTGGTCGTCTTTTGAGAGTAGGGAGGCAAAAGTAAGTTGAAATTTTAACAAAGGTGGACTGAAATGGTTGTGGGCACGGAAGGTATTGAAGTATTTACGCATCAAAATTTTCTACACAAAATAGACAAACCGAAGCCGGAAGCTTACATTAAACTACCTACACACTTGTGATGGGGCTGAGCTGACTACTACAGTAAAGAAGGGAGTGAAAGAGGCAGAAAGGAAAGTGTGGGAGGTAAGAATAAACGAAAAACTCAGCTCCAACAATATACAGGTCACAAACACAGGACAGAAGAAAGGAAAATGTGTTTGACAATTCAACTGGAATTCCTTTACTGTTCGAGGCCTGAACGCGAGTGTTGAGAACGAAGATGTTTAGGAATAAATTTCAGGATACAGACCCATTATGGGTCACCTGCCATAATGAGGGCGAGACGCTAGAGCACTTGGTTTCGGAGTGCACGGGGCTTTGCCCTGCCTTCCTGAAGGAATAACGGATTTGGCCGGGACTCTGGGTTTTGCTGGCGAAGATGAAATGACGCAAGAGAAAAGGGGGTTACAGTCAGAAACAGGTGATTCGAAGATTGGTGCGGATTATCGAAAGAAACTTGAATGATACAGAAGTAACAAGCACAGCTGTAAACAGGCGGAAAAGAGGAAAATTCGAATTCCCTCTCGCGTGACTCCGGCCCAAAGTCTGAACCCTGTCTCCCAGCTGGTCACGGTGCTAGGCCAACGCCAACAAGGTTTGACCAGAGGAAAATCGGCGACTTCCTTTCCGGGGGGAAGACGCGGGGGTGTTGTTCTGGGCTTTTTTGCGGATCCCTCGATGGTCAACCTGGTGATATCCCACACTTCATGGTGATAGTGAGGGGGAGAAAATTGGTTTTAGAAGGGCGGGAGGAATCATTTGTTTATATTTTTAGACTTGGGCTAGGGGGCGCAAGCTACTGCCCATTACAAAGGGTCCATCCAGACATTGTCTGGCAGCCAACGTTACTAAAACACTCAGTTGGGAAACTCGCCGTCAAAACCTGGGCCGCTGGCGTCCACCGAGACCGAGCTAAATGCGAACACAGCGCCACTCTTTATCGTTTGTCTGTACTGTGGTCACCTTGAGCTTTTTGAAAGCCTGTTTTTGCGTAAAAACAAACGGAAAAGACTCTTTTTGTATGAAATTTATTGGAGTTTAGTACCAAATGATGGGCGCGTGATGCTTTTATCATCTTTAGTTCGCAAGGTTTTGCGGAACAATTAATATTGTTTTTATAAAACCATGCCTCAGCGGGCCTTTCAGGTAGCGCGTCCCGACCTAGGTGCATTTTAACCTGTCGTTTAACGCGGTGCGTCCGCCATGGAGACGGGGGTTCACCCCTGTCGAAGCCAAAAATAGAAGTCGCGAGCAGTAGTGTTCGTCATTAGCTCGGTGCTCGGAGACAGATTGGGGCCATATTTTTAGGGCTGTCTCTATGGGAGTTTCCCAACTGAGTGTTTTAGTAACGTTGCTGGCAGCTGACCTGTGAGGAAACTTCTATAAAGGTCTGTTTTCTGTTGTTCATTTTTCTGTTATTTAACATACATTTTCAGTTTCTCACTAAAAAATTTATGTAAATTCGCAAGTTCTGTTAAACCAATCACAGAAAAATTCCAGCACAAAACATTTATGTAAAATAACAATTTCCGCTAAATCAAGTACAGGAAATTATAAGGGAACATAATTTACGCAATATTACAAGTTTCGTGGAAGCAATAGATTATATGCGAAATGTAGAGCGCCATTTAGTACTGCACCGAGTGCTATGTCCGCCATATTGGTAGCGGCGAGAAGACAAAACCAGTCACCCGACCGGCAAAGACCCGACGTAAACAAGCGAACGCGCTTCGCGCGAGAGATGCGATGCGAATGCGTTGCTGCGTTTCGCTGGGAATGCAGCGATAAGCCTTCTATTTATGCGTGACGGGAACGCAAACATGAACAGGATTCAAAACTTTTCTTATTTATATTTGTTACTTGAGACGCAGCTTTTGACAAAAACAATCGGTGACAACGCGAAGAAACATGCGGACGTTATCGCGAGGCGTGAAGCCATTTACAGCTATTGAACTGGCCCCTTATCTTTTCACGAAGTTGTACCAAATTTGTTTTAAAGTTTTGTTTTGTTTAAATTCTTCTTATTTTATGTGCGTTGCACTGTCGGCCTGCGTTTTTCTTGATGTCCGAGCAGCTACCTCAATGAATGCGGACCAGTCCATGGCTGTTAAGCGAGGCGAAAAGCCTCGCTTAAAGGGGTACTCCACCGATTTTTTGAGCTACCTCAACTAACTATATCTTCTGACTCCCCGGGCTTTACTCTCTCCGGTATGCTATTTAGAATCGCGAAATTCATAATAGTTACTGCGAAATCGGCAAATGAAAATGGTGCAAAAACCAACATTCAAATATACGCGCGCTTTTCAGGGCCGTGACGTCAGTGGCAGGCAGGCTTGCCAGTCGAGCAAGCAGCCAAAAAATAGAATATGCCAATCATTTGTTCCGTGCTGGAGCGCGGGTACTGCAGCGAGCTTCCCAAGCATTCATTTGACACCATGAAACTGCTTCGAATCAGTTTAAAACGAAATCTACAGCCCAAAGAGTGAACCCCTGCCTTCCACTGACGTCACTTTTTCATTGTTGCCAGTAGAGACTTCGAGCTTGAAAAACACGGTGAGGACCAATACTGCAAATTCAATAACTTCGCGAAAAAACAATATTTTGACCTAATATTTGGGATACTATTTTCGCGATGTTTGTTGGTTAGTTTAGCAAAATTTCAAGCAAATCGGAGACAATAAAAAAATCGGTGGAGTAGCCCTTTAATGGTACGTTTACACATGAAAAGAAATCCGCTCTCACGGGAGCGGATCCGCTCTCGGCGGCGGCGGCGACGAGCGGGTTGCGTTTACATCTATTTCGTTCGAGCGGCGGCGGTGGCGCCGGCTGCGGCAGCTGTTCTCGTAACATCCCGTCAAATGTGTCGAGAAGGCGCGAGAGTTCCCATCTCGGTTCTCTCTCCCGGACGTGGCTGCTCCCTGAAGAACGCGTACTCGTGACGTAGGCAGCGTCGCGCTTCGCAAGAATGTCACATCCGGTCAGCGAAACGCCTCGTTCGGCGGCAGAAATAGATCCCGGACCTAAACGGCTCGCCGCCGCGTTTTCCGCCCAGCGTTTCGCTCCAGCGGCAAAAGCTGGGCGGATCCGCTGGCGGATCCGCAAGTGTAAACGTACCATAACACTTACGCCAACAACCATATTTGAAGATTCGTGTGGTCAACAGTGAACAACAAAAGCTGAAAGCACCAGAGAGCCCTCCAGGTATTGTCTTATATTTAAAAAAAATAATTATTACTTTGGAAACCCAGAAAGCCATCTCATTGCTTTGCAGCGATTTCTATACACTTGATTTGACGTCGGTAAACGAGGTTTCTAAAACATCTCTACAACTAAACAGGAGAGTATGTTGATAAAATATTCTTTAATATTCAAAGCTCGGTCATGTAGAATAGAGAACACAACAGGCACGGACGACGTGTCTGTTTGCTCAACACTCAGAGACGGGATTTGGCGTTTTTTGTCGAACGTTCGACTTCCACGTTCGATTATACATCGAACGTGGAGTTCGACTTCGTTTCATGGCAGTGGCTAAAACTTCGATGTCGGCGGCAATGACAACTTACGTTGCGGACGTTGAGTGGAGCAATACGGGCGGTGCCCACTTCATTTCACAATCTCCGTTTTTTTTTTTTTTTTTTTTGTTACAGTTGAGGTAAACATTTTGGTTAGTGCAAAGAAGCTTGGGGGGGGGGGGGGTAGTTTTGAGAAGTCAAGGCAGTTATTCTGCCGGGGTTGAACAAATCTTCATTAATAGCGCAACATCCGTCAACTGCCCTTGAAGTCAATGCTATCTGAAACAAATTTGAGCTCTTTGTAACGCCTGAAAAATAATGCCCACGGCACAATTTCTTTTAGAACAACACAAAGCTTTCCACCCAAAAAACTTTCGCGAGTAATGGCAAAAGAAAAAAAAAAGCTAACCTTGAGTTGCATGTATTGTCGTGGAGCAGTCTATCGCTAAACAGTACGACTTCATGCGTATTCGCGTCGATCAAAGATTTTAAAGTGTCCTCAGAGATGAAAGGCACGACGGCCAAGTCCCTTGTGCACGTTGCGGGATCGGAAGACAGAAAACAATAACGTTTCCCAACTGAACTCTGTGGCACAACGTCCATGCCCTGGAAATGCTGAGAAATCGAAACTCAAGATACTTGACGCTACAAAAACGGCGTTGAGCACAGTGCTGCCAGACCACCAAGCATTTTCGCATATCTTCTATTACTGTGAAACCCCAAACGCAGGTATTCTGTTTTAGTTACGGAATTCTACATTCTCTCTCGTTTCTCTCTTTTACAATTATTAGATGCAATATTCGAACATGAAACCGAGCTTAGGCAGAGCATTTTTGCGGTAGAGTGTACATAAAAGCAAAGGTTTTAAAATACACCTAAATACCTTTGCACGCTTTACTAGCTCCGATGCCCAGTAGCTCAGATGTCGCGTGGCAATGTATCAGAAGTGACGTCACATTTTACCTATGCCCTGTTTCGTCTTTGAATATTGCATCTAAAAATTGTAAAAGAAAGAAACGAGAGAAAATGTAAACTTATACGTAACTAAAACAGAGGATATCTGCTCTTGAGCTTTCACAGTAATCGCTTCCATCAGATAATGTCTTGCAGAAATTATCCTCCCTCGTATTTTTCTTTACTTGATTTAACGGAACTTGTTATATTACATACATTTTTTGTGCTGGGATATTTCTGTGATTGGTTTAAACTTTAAAGGGATACTACAACGAAATTTTGGCGCCTATTTTATGGTCTATATGTGTTCAAAGGAGCAGTATCACATCGAACACACCAATATCTTGTTAAAAAAGTCACGAAAACGAATTTTAGAACGAATTAAACGATTCCCAAACAGCACCTGGTGTTTGTCGCGAACGCCTCGTTTGGAATGTCCGTCTAGGTACATTGCCGGGAAGTGACCTAGGTCGTCTCACGGGTTGTCTCCTGGAAGAACGGAGCAGCGCCGCTCTGCGGAAGTACGGCTCACTACGCCTCTTCTCTAGTTCTGAACGCAATTATCAAGCCTTCGCTGCCTGCTCTGCCTTCACCCCTTCGCCATTTTCCCGACGATGGCGACGGTGGACTCGTTGCATTGAGTTGTGGTGGCCCGATCGCTTGCGTACCTCGGTCTCTAGAACGCTTAGATCATCCTGTCGCGTTCTAATGCCGAGATGGTGCGGCACTGTGCGGTAGAGGACTGCGGCAACCTCCTGATTCGGTGCGGAAAACCTATTCACCAGTTCCCAAAGGACGAACAACTTCGTGCGCTTTGGATCCGGCTCGCACGACCGTCCTCCCCGGCGTGGCTTCCAACTACGAGTGATCGCTTGTGTTCCTATCACTTTCGTGATGAGGACTACGTGCGAAGCCCCAGGGTGATGGAGTCCTTGGGCTTCCCGGTGAGGAACGTACAACTCAAACCAGGAGTTTTGCCCCGTTTATTTTCAAAGAAGCGGAGATCTGGCGAGCGCAGCGAACCCCTTGACAAGCGACGCAGAGTGGTAAGGGAGCATGTTATCTGTCGAGTATTTCCGAGTTCTGCAATGAAAGCCGAACCGCATGTAAGCGATTTAGCGAGTGACGAGACGAGCGACGGCGTCGAGAGTCTGCGACGAGCGACGGAGTCGAGAGTCTGCGACGAGCGACGGAGATTTCTCACTGTCGCCAGTCGCATCGCTCGGTTCTTAGATTACTGGAAAGAGTAAAGCTATACGCACTACGTCGTGCACCTTGACTGGAAATGGCCCTACGCACTACGCGAAGCTCGTATCAGCGGCGAGTTTCCAAAGAGGTGGCGTAGCATGATAGTAAGTTGTCTGCTTTATACGCAGCGGTCCGCGGTTTGATCCCCAATGAGGGCGACGTTTCCTTAGTTCTTTTTTTTTATCACTATTTTTTTTTGTAGGGCATTTACGATGTTTAAGACATTTCTTTACTACAAATAACACTGAAAAAAAAAAAGATAAGGATTGATATTTACGAAGTTTTGCAGAACTGAATGGTATGGGACTCGCTTTCCGGAGGTGCAGGAGGGGACAGCGGGGCTTGGGTTGCCGGCTGGACGCCGCGAAGCGGCGTGTACAGGTTAAGTTTTGCAATTAGCAGCCGCACAGTGTCGCCGCGAAGCGGCTTGAACGCAGGCAAGGGGGGTAAGGTTCGGTTAAACACACGCCGTCCGAAAAGGGTGACCCAAATGGCATGATGGCATCAGCTCTCTGCGTAGTGTTTATAGCCATTTCCGATCGAGGTGCACGACATAGTGCGTATAGCTTTACTCTTCTAGAAAACGTCGCTCACCGTCCTGGCCACTTGCCCCCGTCGCTTTCATGCGGTTCGCCTCCTCGCGCGACCGACCGAGCAACAGCGAAGCGGGTCGCCGTTGCTTGTCTCGTCACTTGCCAAGTCGCTTTCATGCGGTTTATGCTTGTCTGTTTCATCCAGCATGTGAGCGATTTTCCAGGAGACCTGTCGCTCAGTTCGTCACTCGCCGAGGCAAATCGCACGCAGCGACCTCCAGGCGATGACCAAAGTGTTCAGGGAATTTAGAACCGAACACTGCGACAGGCGACGGCGACCAGCGATAGCCTAGCTCATCGCTCGCCAAATCGCTTTCATGCGGTTCAGCCGTGGCCGATCGTGCTTTCTTTTTCAAGCCGTTCCGCTCATCATCGAAGAGCTTTGGCAAGGTGGGTTAGAGTGCCGGATCGAACGCACGCACTCCAGCAATTCAAGGATCTAGGGTTCGACCCCTACCTTACCAGTCTTAACTTGGATAAACATTGTGCTGGCATGCGGTAGTATATCAGTAGTATGTGACGTCCCTTCAAAACCCCGGGGTAGCGGTAGTACTGCACTGGCTGGATTTCCTACCTACAGTGTAGAGCGTATCTGCAACGACAACCATCCACCTCTCTAAATTTCCATGCACTTTATTTTTCTTAATGGCCAGTAAATCATATGCTATTTTCCCCTGAGCATCACGCACCTCTGCGTGATTCCACCAACTTCCTGGTCGGAGGTGCAGACACATGTTGGGAGCCTACAAACGAGCTAGAAGAAACAGCCGTTAGAACAGGTAAGGTTATTGACGTAACTTGAATGTCTTTTAACGTAACAATGTGTGGGCTGTGAGTGCTGCACCAGTGGGCCCATACTCCTGGGCCAAAATCAATAACACCCCCTTAACATTCTTCCGTCTTCTCTCTTGCATCTCTCCAGTGACTCCAAGTGTGTTGGCATGTCGGCTGGTTGCACCTGCGGCCTCCCCCACTGCAATAACGCGGACAGACAGTGCCAGCACCTTTACAGGTATGCAGGCACTCCAATGGGACCTATACTGCGTGGTGTCACCTGCTTCAAGCGGAACTGCCAGACGCATCCACACAGTGCTAATGTTGCTCTAAGGCTTTTTGTGTCTCGATCATGCACTTCTATGCTGATTCATGTCTGTTCATAGGCGCCCCTGGAGCGTTGGGTTGCCCACCTGCGGCCTCGCCGACCGCTCCGACACGAACAGATGGAGCCCGCACCCCGACAGGTATGAAGGCACTCCGATGGGACCTATACTGCGTGGTGTCACCTGCTTCAAGCGAAACTGCCAGACGCATCCACACAGTGCCAATGTTGCTCTAAGGTTTTTTGTGTCTCGATCATGCACTTCTATGCTGATTCATGTCTGTTCATAGGCACCCCTGGAGCGTTGGGTTGCCCACCTGCGGCCTCGCCGACCGCTCCGACACGAACAGATGGAGCCCGCACCCCAACAGGTATGAAGGCACTCCGATGGGACCTATACTGCGTGGTGTCACCTGCTTCAAGCGGAACTGCCAGACGCATCCACACAGTGCTAATGTTGCTCTAAGGTTTTTTGTGTCTCGATCATGCACTTCTATGCTGATTCATGTCTGTTCATAGGCACCCCTGGAGCGTTGGGTTGCCCACCTGCGGCCTCGCCGACCGCTCCGACACGAACAGATGGAGCCCGCACCCCAACAGGTATGAAGGCACTCCGATGGGACCTATACTGCGTGGTGTCACCTGCTTCAAGCGGAACTGCCAGACGCATCCACACAGTGCTAATGTTGCTCTAAGGTTTTTTGTGTCTCGATCATGCACTTCTATGCTGATTCATGTCTGTTCATAGGCGCCCCTGGAGAGTTGGGTTGCCCACCTGCGGCCTCGCCGACCGCTCCGACACGAACAGATGGAGCCCGCACCCCGACAGGTATGAAGGCACTCCGATGGGACCTATACTGCGTGGTGTCACCTGCTTCAAGCGGAACTGCCAGACGCATCCACACAGTGCTAATGTTGCTCTAAGGTTTTTTGTGTCTCGATCATGCACTTCTATGCTGATTCATGTCTGTTCATAGGCGCCCCTGGAGCGTTGGGTTGCCCACCTGCGGCCTCGCCGACCGCTCCGACACGAACAGATGGAGCCCGCACCCCGACAGGTATGAAGGCACTCCGATGGGACCTATACTGCGTGGTGTCACCTGCTTCAAGCGAAACTGCCAGACGCATCCACACAGTGCCAATGTTGCTCTAAGGTTTTTTGTGTCTCGATCATGCACTTCTATGCTGATTCATGTCTGTTCATAGGCACCCCTGGAGCGTTGGGTTGCCCACCTGCGGCCTCGCCGACCGCTCCGACACGAACAGATGGAGCCCGCACCCCAACAGGTATGAAGGCACTCCGATGGGACCTATACTGCGTGGTGTCACCTGCTTCAAGCGGAACTGCCAGACGCATCCACACAGTGCCAATGTTGCTCTAAGGTTTTTTGTGTCTCGATCATGCACTTCTATGCTGATTCATGTCTGTTCATAGGCACCCCTGGAGCGTTGGGTTGCCCACCTGCGGCCTCGCCGACCGCTCCGACACGAACAGATGGAGCCCGCACCCCAACAGGTATGAAGGCACTCCGATGGGACCTATACTGCGTGGTGTCACCTGCTTCAAGCGAAACTGCCAGACGCATCCACACAGTGCCAATGTTGCTCTAAGGTTTTTTGTGTCTCGATCATGCACTTCTATGCTGATTCATGTCTGTTCATAGGCACCCCTGGAGCGTTGGGTTGCCCACCTGCGGCCTCGCCGACCGCTCCGACACGAACAGATGGAGCCCGCACCCCAACAGGTAGGAAGGCACTCCGATGGGACCTATACTGCGTGGTGTCACCTGCTTCAAGCGGAACTGCCAGACGCATCCACACAGTGCTAATGTTGCTCTAAGGTTTTTTGTGTCTCGATCATGCACTTCTATGCTGATTCATGTCTGTTCATAGGCACCCCTGGAGCGTTGGGTTGCCCACGTGCGGCCTCGCCGACCGCTCCGACACGAACAGATGGAGCCCGCACCCCAACAGGTATGAAGGCACTCCGATGGGACCTATACTGCGTGGTGTCACCTGCTTCAAGCGGAACTGCCAGACGCATCCACACAGTGCTAATGTTGCTCTAAGGTTTTTTGTGTCTCGATCATGCACTTCTATGCTGATTCATGTCTGTTCATAGGCGCCCCTGGAGAGTTGGGTTGCCCACCTGCGGCCTCGCCGACCGCTCCGACACGAACAGATGGAGCCCGCACCCCGACAGGTATGAAGGCACTCCGATGGGACCTATACTGCGTGGTGTCACCTGCTTCAAGCGGAACTGCCAGACGCATCCACACAGTGCTAATGTTGCTCTAAGGTTTTTTGTGTCTCGATCATGCACTTCTATGCTGATTCATGTCTGTTCATAGGCACCCCTGGAGCGTTGGGTTGCCCACCTGCGGCCTCGCCGACCGCTCCGACACGAACAGATGGAGCCCGCACCCCAACAGGTATGAAGGCACTCCGATGGGACCTATACTGCGTGGTGTCACCTGCTTCAAGCGGAACTGCCAGACGCATCCACACAGTGCTAATGTTGCTCTAAGGTTTTTTGTGTCTCGATCATGCACTTCTATGCTGATTCATGTCTGTTCATAGGCGCCCCTGGAGCGTTGGGTTGCCCACCTGCGGCCTCGCCGACCGCTCCGACACGAACAGGTGGAGCCCGCACCCCAACAGGTATGAAGGCACTCCGATGGGACCTATACTGCGTGGTGTCACCTGCTTCAAGCGGAACTGCCAGACGCATCCACACAGTGCTAATGTTGCTCTAAGGTTTTTTGTGTCTCGATCATGCACTTCTATGCTGATTCATGTCTGTTCATAGGCGCCCCTGGAGCGTTGGGTTGCCCACCTGCGGCCTCGCCGACTGCTCCGACACGAACAGATGGAGCCCGCACCCCAACAGGTATGAAGGCACTCCGATGGGACCTATACTGCGTGGTGTCACCTGCTTCAAGCGGAACTGCCAGACGCATCCACACAGTGCTTATGTTGCTCTAAGGTTTTTTGTGTCTCGATCATGCACTTCTATGCTGATTCATGTCTGTTCATAGGCACCCCTGGAGAGTTGGGTTGCCCACCTGCGGCCTCGCCGACCGCTCCGACACGAACAGATGGAGCCCGCACCCCAACAGGTATGAAGGCACTCCGATGGGACCTATACTGCGTGGTGTCACCTGCTTCAAGCGGAACTGCCAGACGCATCCACACAGTGCTTATGTTGCTCTAAGGTTTTTTGTGTCTCGATCATGCACTTCTATGCTGATTCATGTCTGTTCATAGGCGCCCCTGGAGAGTTGGGTTGCCCACCTGCGGCCTCGCCGACCGCTCCGACACGAACAGATGGAGCCCGCACCCCAACAGGTATGAAGGCACTCCGATGGGACCTATACTGCGTGGTGTCACCTGCTTCAAGCGGAACTGCCAGACGCATCCACACAGTGCTAATGTTGCTCTAAGGTTTTTTGTGTCTCGATCATGCACTTCTATGCTGATTCATGTCTGTTCATAGGCGCCCCTGGAGCGTTGGGTTGCCCACCTGCGGCCTCGCCGACTGCTCCGACACGAACAGATGGAGCCCGCACCCCAACAGGTATGAAGGCACTCCGATGGGACCTATACTGCGTGGTGTCACCTGCTTCAAGCGGAACTGCCAGACGCATCCACACAGTGCTTATGTTGCTCTAAGGTTTTTTGTGTCTCGATCATGCACTTCTATGCTGATTCATGTCTGTTCATAGGCACCCCTGGAGAGTTGGGTTGCCCACCTGCGGCCTCGCCGACCGCTCCGACACGAACAGATGGAGCCCGCACCCCAACAGGTATGAAGGCACTCCGATGGGACCTATACTGCGTGGTGTCACCTGCTTCAAGCGGAACTGCCAGACGCATCCACACAGTGCTTATGTTGCTCTAAGGTTTTTTGTGTCTCGATCATGCACTTCTATGCTGATTCATGTCTGTTCATAGGCGCCCCTGGAGAGTTGGGTTGCCCACCTGCGGCCTCGCCGACCGCTCCGACACGAACAGATGGAGCCCGCACCCCAACAGGTATGAAGGCACTCCGATGGGACCTATACTGCGTGGTGTCACCTGCTTCAAGCGGAACTGCCAGACGCATCCACACAGTGCTAATGTTGCTCTAAGGTTTTTTGTGTCTCGATCATGCACTTCTATGCTGATTCATGTCTGTTCATAGGCACCCCTGGAGCGTTGGGTTGCCCACCTGCGGCCTCGCCGACCGCTCCGACACGAACAGATGGAGCCCGCACCCCAACAGGTATGAAGGCACTCCGATGGGACCTATACTGCGTGGTGTCACCTGCTTCAAGCGGAACTGCCAGACGCATCCACACAGTGCTTATGTTGCTCTAAGGTTTTTTGTGTCTCGATCATGCACTTCTATGCTGATTCATGTCTGTTCATAGGCGCCCCTGGAGCGTTGGGTTGCCCACCTGCGGCCTCGCCGACTGCTCCGACACGAACAGATGGAGCCCGCACCCCAACAGGTATGAAGGCACTCCGATGGGACCTATACTGCGTGGTGTCACCTGCTTCAAGCGGAACTGCCAGACGCATCCACACAGTGCTTATGTTGCTCTAAGGTTTTTTGTGTCTCGATCATGCACTTCTATGCTGATTCATGTCTGTTCATAGGCACCCCTGGAGCGTTGGGTTGCCCACCTGCGGCCTCGCCGACCGCTCCGACACGAACAGATGGAGCCCGCACCCCTACAGGTATGAAGGCACTCCGATGGGACCTATACTGCGTGGTGTCACCTGCTTCAAGCGGAACTGCCAGACGCATCCACACAGTGCTAATGTTGCTCTAAGGTTTTTGGTGTCTCGATCATGCACTTCTATGCTGATTGATGTGTTTTCATAGGCACCCCTGGAGCGTTGGGTTGCCCACCTGCGGCCTCGCCGACTGCTCCGACACGAACAGATGGAGCCCGCACCCCAACAGGTATGAAGGCACTCCGATGGGACCTATACTGCGTGGTGTCACCTGCTTCAAGCGGAACTGCCAGACGCATCCACACAGTGCTAATGTTGCTCTAAGGTTTTTTGTGTCTCGATCATGCACTTCTATGCTGATTCATGTCTGTTC